CCTAGCAATTTTTTTTCTGTTTGTATAATGGTACTTGATAATTCTAGTTTGGCATTCAGTCAATTTAAAAAGGGTTGGGACAGGAGACAAAAACATGTTCTGGGAGTAGCTCATTTATTTGTTGCTTTGGAGAAAAATGTTTTCGAGATTCTTTTGCCGCAGTTTAAAACAATAGCCTAATTGTTATCCTGAAAGGCTTTATTAAACTGTTGCATTATGCAGACTCTTCAATCTCAAAGTGCCTTATAAATATTGATCAACATAATTTTGCTGTGATGTGGCTCATAGCTATCATTATTATATACATTTTATAGATGGGTGAACAGAAAGGTTAAAAGGGCAGCATCCACTATGGGATTTATGTGCCAACTACCAATTTGAGCAACTAGGTCCAACACGTAGCAACCAATGACATTCTTAAAACTCCCACTTGGCTGGTGCTTAATCTTAAATATGTTCCTTAACCTCCCTAAGCATTGCATAAGGAGCCCAGGCCCTAATGAATTCCCCTAGGGTCCGGAACACTTAAGCCTTAAGTGTCACATTTCTAAGCTTAAGTGCCCTAGGCAATGAAGTTTCTGCTTGCAAATTGTGTTAGACTGCTGAGCTGCTCAGAGGCCTATTCCATGTCCAGCTACTCAGACTTTGTGAGACTTCATTCCCCCATCTATCTTACCTGCAGGACTCAATACACTAGGCATCTGTCAAAGATGGCAGAGGACTTTTATGGCTGGTTTTGTGTGTCACGTAATATCCACTAGTCCAGTGTATGGGGTAACTACCTGGGCAGTGAAAGATCTGTCTTCAACTCCCCACTCTAGCTTTTTTAGAGAAGTGACAAACTTGGGTCTTTCTCATCTCAGGAGAATACTCAGGCTATTGGGTAAGATAGTCTCTTGTATTGAAGGATCTTTCATTTCGTACAAGTAAACGCTCTCTGGGTGGTAAGAGATTGACTCTATAGTTTAGCAGTGAAGCTATTCACCTGGGAGGTAGAAGAATATGGTTCAAGTCCCTGCTTTGATGATCATTTTATTTTTATATAAAATGGAACAGCTTTAACTGGAGAGATTAGAAATTGCCCAGAATACCCAAGAGCCTGGTGGCTAGCTCACTCGCTGGCATGCAAGAGACCTGGATGAGAGTCTTCTGCGTGGGTTTGAAAACATCCATCTCCCAGCTGAATGCCCTAAATATCAGGCCACAAGGTGTGCAGATGTCAAGTATGTCCTTCACTTGGTATTCATGAAAAAAAGATGCATCTTAGGCATGTAACTACTTTTGGAGGGGTGAGCCCCTCAGCCTTGGCCTCCTTTTTGCATTTTCTACTGGATGGCTTTGGTAGATCTCTATGCATTTTCTAGGGATTCTATCCTTTGGTACTTGACTCTTCCCATGTATGGTGTGAGGAGCCTGGATGCTGAACTTGGGAATATGAAATGCAGTGTGGAGGGAAAGGCATCGAAGAGTTAGGCACTGCAATGACTAAGTCACAGCAATATTGCACAGGAAGGGATGTCATGAAATTCAGTTCCCCAACACCTCAAATTTTCCCTTTTATAAATTGATTATGGTCAGTCTTACAAGTAGTTTGACTTTCCCCTCATGCTCCAGCTGAAAAGCGGTTCCAGCATGTTGCCACTCTAAATTCTGGCCTATATTTATTCTCAGCCAATTTATATATGTTATCTTCTTGCAAACACTGTCTCTTAGCTTGAATAGCTCTTTTCCATCTAGGGTGAATACTTCTCCAGTAAATTTAAACATCAATTATATTCTCCCTTAGCCTCCATTTTGGTAGACAAGACAAACCAAGCTCTTCTAATCTCCTCTAATATGAAAGGCTCTCCAGCCCTCAACCATCCTAGTAGCCTTACTCTGCACCTGAGCTAGTTTGAATCCATCTTTATTGAACACGGGTTGTCAGATATACTGTACGTAATATTCCAGATGAAATTTATCAGTATCTTATATAACTTATTGTACAAGACATGTTAAGTCTTATTTAAGTTTACAAAGCTTGTGAGTAGAAGAATTAAGAATAGAAACCAGGACACAGGACTTTTGGTCCCTGTACCAAATATTGGCAACCTTTTATCTCTCTAGAAGTCTGGACAAAAAATGTTTGTTATTGTTTGTTTGGTTGGTTTAGTTGGTTTTGATTGGCTCTTGCTGATACCATTTCGTTTTGCAGAGATCACCCTATGACACACTCCAAGATCACATTTGCCTTTTTACAGATGCATCATAGGGCCATGTTACACATTAATCTTAGGTGGTTCCTGGAGCTCTTAACCCCTGGGTTGCCCACACATTAATACCGGAGACTGGCTGTAAGCACTTGTTAGGTGGATTAAAGTTACACCTTTCCAGCCTAGGTTTATCACTGATCCATTTTACCCAGCTCATGTTACACTAAGGTATGGCCACTCTCAGATACAGATACACATTAACGTAAACACACCTTCGCATCCTCCCTTCTCCTGCTGGCTCAGATCAGGCCCACTGCCCCCCCCCCCTCCCCTGAGCCCCAGATCCCCATTCACTTGCTACAACCACTCCTACTCTCTGAGCCAGGCTCAGCCCAGAGAAGAGCAGCAGCTTGACATCAGCAATGGCAGGGAACAGGCAGGCAGTGCAGGTTAACCCTTCCCTGTCTGTTCTCTTGGGAAGTGGGGAGGAGGAGCAAGGTGTTGAGGCGGAACCCCGAGGGGCAGAAAGGGAGCCCCAGGGGTGGAGGGGGGAGCTGGGGATCCCTGGCGGGCAGGGAGGAAGCCCTGGATTGGTGTGATGGGGAGGGTGGAATGCTTACCTTTCAGTCCTCCAGGCCCCTGCTGGCCTGAACATGTCACTGCTCTGAACTCAAGCTAGCACCAACGCCCATCAACATTTGAGCAATTCACAGAGTAACATGTAACAAGGGCCATACTGTTGGTTCAGAATCACCTGTGATCACCTAGTGACCCAAGTGGTCATTCTCCTCCGTTCCTTCCAAATTAGGGATTCCCAGTTTATAACTCAAGTGTTTTAATGTTATTCTGCAAAGGCATGACCTTGCACTTTGTCCTGAATTTCAGCCCATTTCTTCTTTTATTCTAGTCCCCATGATCATCCAGGTCTTTCACTCTGAATGTCCAATCCTACTCTTTATTTTGGTGTTGACAGTGCCTCCTACCTTTGTGCCATCAGCAACCCTCCCTTTCTGTGCCATGGTTACTAAAGAAAATATCAACTGAGATTGGTCCTTGAGGAAGTCAGCTATCCGCCTTTGGGCTGATAATTTCCCTTGCAACACTACCTGTTGCCACATCCTCATTAGCCCGTCCTTTACAGTTCTTTTACTAATCCCCATCTTCTCTAATGTAACTAATAATTTCTCATGTCACACCATATCAAATACTTTGCTAAAGTCCAGATAGATGACATCTACTTTGTTTCCTTTGTCTAGGTGGTGGTCTGCTATTGAGCGGTCTGCTAGAATTTCCCTTTGGTAAGCCTAGATTGTAATTAGCCCATGTTCTTTTTACTTTCTTGTCCTTCATTATTCTCTCTTTCAAAATCTGTTTTAAAGCTTTTGCCAACTGTTGAAGGCAGAGTAATAGGCACACAGCTGCCCTGATCATTTTTCCCCTTTAATATAGGTAACTTCAGTTGCTGTTCTCCAGTCGGATGGAGCATAGTGAAATAAATTATATTTAATCCCTTTGAGGAAGTAGCCCTCAGGGATTTGTTAAAGGTTGCACAGTAGGTGAGTGGTAGAACTAACAGGATACATGACTCTTGGTCCCTGAATGCTAGGCAAATCTTTGTCTCTTTAGAAACCTGGACACAAATGGGGTTCTTTTGATTGGCTTTCACTGATACCATTTCCCATTGCAAATCTGAGACGGTTAAATTCAACTGGCTTTTAACTTTGTTTCTGATGCCAACCACTGTGCTTTAATTAGAGATAATCCCAGACCATGTCTGAGCTCTCCCAGA